AAGCACGCGCAGCCCCAGCCGCAGGAGCCTTTGCCCAGCAAGCGCCTGAGCATCCTCGAGGAGGAAGACGCCGGCGCGCCCTCGGGCAAGTGTCCCGGCTGCTCCCAGGCGGTTCCAGCCGGCGCCGGCAAGTGTGAGGGGTGCCGCTCGTCCCGGGGGGATCTCATTGACCTGAAGGGGGAGTCCGTGCGCTTCACCCCGGCCAGCCCCTCCAGCCCCGACTTCAGCACCTGGTCCTGCTCCAAGTGCACCCTGCGGAATCCCACCGGCGCCACCAAATGCAGTGCCTGCGGCTCTTCCAAGCTGCACGGCTTCCAGGACCCGAACCCTCGCTGCCCCCAGTGCGGCGCCGCCTCCAGCCCCTGCTCCTGCGCCGGGGCGTCCGGAGGAGGGAAAGCCCGCAAGCCCCCCAGACTCTTCAGCTCCCCCTCCTCGTCGTCCCTGGGCACGTCCCAGGAGAAGTCGGGCCAGTGGGCCTGTCCGGCTTGCACCCTGCTGAACGACCTCAAGGCCAAGCACTGCGCCGCCTGCCACACGCCCCAGCAGTACTTCACCCTCCGCAAGGGCGCCAAGCCCCTCAAGAGGCGGGAGAGCATGCACGTGGAGGCCCGGCGCAAGAACGACGAGGGGGAGGCCAAGGAACTCTGGGAAAACATTGTCAGCTTCTGCCAAGAGGTATGTGGCACTGTTGACCCCTCTGATCTTGGGGTCCGGAGTCCCCTAAGTTGTCTCCTTAAATTAGAAATGACTCTACCTGGGAGAAGGGTTAAATCCATCCATGTAATGAATTGAACTAATTTATCCTTTCTCCATAGCCTTAAGCAGCTAACAATTCAAACATAGAAAGCCAGTGGGATTGTGGATCCTGAGATCCCAGGATTGGGAATCCCCTTTTCGGGGCTATGGATTTAGCTACTGTATGTAGAGTCGCTTCAGATTAAGCAATAGGTCTGATACGGTTTCTGTTTTGTTGGTATTCAAAACCAATTCATACATTTGCTTCCTTTAAAATTAAAAACATGATCCTCCCATAGTCTGAGCAAACCCGCATGTAAGGGAATTTACAGATGACTCCAAATGAGGTGGAGTGGTGGCTCTGTGGCTAAGGATCTGCGCCTTTGGCTGGTTGCCAGTTCAAATCCCATGGCCGGCAGAGGAATCCTACTCCGTTGGGCCCCTGAGCAAGGCCCTTAACCCCAGCTGCTCCAGGGGCGCCGTATAAATGGCTGACGCTGTGCTCTGACCCCAAGCTTCTCTCCCTGTCTGTGTGTCTCATGGAGAGCAAGCTGGGGTATGCGAATAGACAAACTCCTAATGCAAGAAATTGTATACGGCCAATAAAGTGAATTTATTTTAAATGAAGGCAGACAACGTAGCAAAGCAGAGCTTTGACCCCAAAATTTGTTGTTTTTTTTTGGTCAGGGTGCATGTCTCCTGTTCTTCCAGGTGCAGACGGTAAAGGCAGATTTTAGTGTTTCGTGCTGTTTAGCACAATCTTTACTGGGTACAGCGAGTCATTGGAACAGCACATGATCTATTTCAGAAGCATTTCCCCTTCAGAAAAATGACAAGAGATTAACCACTGTGGATTCCGGCCAAACAAGGACAAATTGTACGCAATGAACAAAAGAGGGAAAGGGTGCTTCTTTTTGCTGGATCGATATCTGTAATAAATACCCAGATACCACTGCGCAGTTGGAGAGTTCTAACCTCCTTGACAAATAGTCCAGCACAGCACCTTGGCTTATTATCACTGCACATTCTTTTTACATAGGGAGGACTGTTATTGTGTTATTGTATGTGTTTATAATGATGACCACATTCATTGGTTGTTGTCAGACCATTTTGTGTTTTTTGTCACCATCTGTCTCTTCAAGCATTCAGCCAAAAAATATGTAAAATCCTATAAGACTTTTTTTTCCCCTCTAAATTGTTTATTGCGCAAAATGTGCAGGCCAAGCCAAAACAAAAGAAACAAGGATTTTAAAAATAAATGTGTTCAATTATTCAGTTTTAAAGGAGACATCAGGCCCTGAGTTTCCATACGCCAAGATTCCTTTGTAACAACAGATGGAGTTTAGAAAAAGACATTTACATTTAGTGTCCATTCATTTTGTGGATTTTAAAAATGAATTGAAATCAGTTGTTTTAAGCATTTTTGGGAAAGCGTAGTTGCAGGGAGAGCTTTTTTCTAAATCTTTGGCATTTTTTCATAAACAGCATGAAATGTAAAATCATACATCATCTTGTGTTACTATTATACAGAAGGTTAAGTAATGCCTCTAATTTTCTTCACATTCTTACATGCTTTTCAACTCCTAAACGTTTGACATACCAGCTAGGATTTGGAATGCGATCTGCTATCTGGGAAGTACTGTGACCCGACTCTCTGCTGCTAGAGAATTGCTAAGCACTTCACCCAGATTTGGAGAGAGACCTCAGTCTAACAGTTTCGGAGACCCCGAACAGCGGAGAGTAACAAGCATGGGGTACAGTGCCTGGTGGAAATGGAAACAATTGACAAAAAACACTTTCCAGTTTACTTCACTTTATGCACGGTGAGGTAATGTTCAGGATTTTCAGAAGTCCTGGCATCTGTGTGATAAGGTGTGAAATAAAAAATCTTGGCTCGGAAATGGGAAGGAGTTTTTCGCAAATTGGATAGCCTGTAACCTTGTGGCGTGTTGGTGTGGAAAGACCAGATAAAGATAAAAGATAAAATGAGGCAGCGCCATTTTTAATTTGGGGCCTTGCTTGGCGCAGTTGCATAATATTTGCTTTATGTGATTTTAGCCTATTTTCCTTCATGTTTTTACATTATCCCACAATTTCAAACTCTTACCAGGAGTAGTGACCTATAAAAATATCAAACTTGCCTAGTTTTTGTTTCCTGCTGTAGTACCATACAACAGTTTATAGATCTAAGTTTCTGTTACTCTGTTCCCCTTTGTAACAGCTCAGATAAGGATCTGTAATGCTAAGACACAGCTGGCACTGAATAGCATCAGTGTTCCCAAAATATCATAAGGCAGGTTCCAAAATGCCCAATTGATTCCTTTTAAGAGAAACTGCGATGCTATTTTCGTATTTCGGGTGCATTTCAAACCGCAATAAAATGTACACAGTAACTTGCAAAACTTCCAATTTACATCCCAAAATGGACGACATTTCCAGGTATGTGCCAGACCATGTTCTGTGCTTCAGAATGAGGCAATTCCGGTGATGTGGTGCTGCCCAATTACACTGTAAAGAAGTGGGCTTGTGAATACATCGCTTTTAATCCACTAGAAATATTGCTCTCGATTTTCGAGACGGTTTTGCCAACAAATATTCCTTACTCGTTAACTCTGCATGCAGATCACGTAGGAACACGTCTTCCGTGAAATGTCGGCTGCGCAACCTGTACTCACTCCCTCGGACATCACATTACAATATTCATAATGGGAACCAGTGAGCAGGAAGGGCCGCATCATGTCGCAATTCATGGGAATCTTCGCTTTAATAACCCGTCTGAGAAATTGGGACAGCAGTTCCCCTTAATGGCCAATAACTGCTATCTTTAAGGACCAAGTCATCAAAACAGGACCTCAACTTAAAGGTTTGGAAATTCTGGTTCAGGGGGGAAGAGCACCGCTTACTGGCCCATCAGCACCGATTACAGTAGCAACCTGGTTTTTCTTAGAGGCCTCCCACCTCAATACTGACCAGACCCAGCCGTGATAAGCGTCTGATGAGATCAGGCTACAATGTTGCAAACTCTGCTGTCAAGGATTTCTGAATACTTAATCCAAAACTCTTCCAGCCTCCTTTATTCCATCAAAAAAAAATCCAGGTACTTGAATCTGTTTGTGCCGTTCCTTTGAAAACCAAGAAATATCTCGTTTATTATTCTTTAAGCTTTTTGCATTCGCTTTTTGTAGCATGGAGATCTAATCGATCTAATCTGAGAGTAGTGTTCCGTGCTAGTTTGTGCTAATGCTTTGTGTAAACTGAAGACTTCTGATACATTGAAGGGAATGGTGAATTGACAGGGAGCGGAAACGTGTCTGCATCTTGTGAGAGCAACACAAAAAGACGAGTTCTGAAAATATGAGGTTTGCAATCCAGGCGTGAGATTGGATGAGTTGGAAATGCTTAGTGAGAAAAGATCTAGCCTTAAGGTACGTTTTTTTTATATGTGATGTATTTTTAGGATGTGTGATCAACTTATTTGGTGGCAAGAATCAAGATTTTTCCTTTCTGCCCTTCTCCCCACCCCCCCGCCGGAATTATATTCCGATACTGCCCCTGGGTGCAGAATGAAGCACCGGGGCGCATGTGGGAAATGAATGGCAAGCAGAGACCGAAACGCTTCTTACCTCTATTATCGGAAATCTCTCGGCTTCCTCCCTTAGTTCATTACAGAGCCTCTGTATCAATCAAGTCCATCTCCCCCCCTCCACCGTGCGTGTGTGCACTGCTGTGTAACGTGTCCGATGGGGAGATAGAAAGGGAAAGCCGCAGACGTTATCGGCTTGACCGAAAGCCACAGAGGCAGGTAAGCCAGTTGGCAGACCGGGAAGAAGGATCAAAGGTCAGGCTGTCTTAAGTAACCGTGCAGCTGCAGCAGGCGCTGAATGCCGATCGCGTCGCTCTCTCGCACGAGTTGCTGTGAGCTGATGTTTCCGGGGTTAATAGCGGCGATCACGTGCTAATGGAGTCTCCCGATACTACAGTACATCAGCGCACGGCCACAGGCCAGGCGGCTTGCGGCGCGTCGCTAGCATTGACAGTCCACGGCGCTCCTGTTGTTGAAGCCCGTCCCCGCATAGCTTTTCTGCATTGCGTGCCACTGCTGCGGGCGGGGGGGGGGTCGGCCCTGTGATCTCCGCCCGGGTGTCGAGGAGGGGAACAAATTAAAACAGTGACTCGTCTCTGCAGCGCCGAACACTTCGAGCTGAAAGGAAGAGTTTCTGCGCGTTATTTCATTATTATTTAATATTCGGAATGCTAATTTGCCCGAGCGCGTCAGCTCTTTGGGAATCGGGGTCCAGCCGGGCTCGGAATTGGAATTAGATCTGGGAGGTGGTGGCGACGGGAGTTTATTTTTGCTGGGGGGGTCACAGAGCAACAACGGGAAGATGAAACTGGGAGCTCTGTGGCCGTCTCAGCACGCTGTGAACATACTTATTAAACCCACGCGAAATGGTTAGCTCCTTCTGAAACGCCCGTAGTCTGAAGTTAAATCTGGCTGCCCTGTACAGAAATAACCTTCAGAAGACGTAAGGGCATGATAATTAATCCCCTGACTCGCTATTGTCAAGAGCTGTGACTGGAATGGTGTAAAATATATGTAGAACTTTATTCATTTATATCCGTGTTGGCCATCAGTGGTGTTTTTTTTTTTTCAGTTTTACGAAAAATCTTCAAACGACGGCTCTGAACCGGCTGATGATTGTATCACATCTTTGGTCAGGCGCAGCAATAACTGTATGTGCAGTGCTTTTACCCGGCTAGGCAGCCTGCCAAGTCTTTTAATTAAAGTCTCCTTTAAATAAAGTCTTCCCTACCTCTCTGTAGCAATATAATATGTCATTTCCATCTCATTCAGCTGAAGTTGGAGACCACAAAGAATGAATAATGTTGAACCAGGCCAGTGCCTCATTGTTCACTCCCATCAGCTCAGAGAAATGCTA